GACTTTTAATGACCCTTTCTATTTCCTTAGGGGTTATTGGTCTATTTAAATCATTTATCTGGTCTTGACTTAACTTTGGTATGTAGTACCTATCCAGAAAATTGTCCATTTCTCTTTGATTTTCTAATTTTGTGTAGTACAGGTTTTTGAAGTATGACCTGATGATTCTCTGGATTTCCTCATTGTCTGCTGTTATATCTCCCTTTTCATTTCTGATTTTGTTGATTGGGATGCTTTCTCTCTGCCTTTTGGTTAATTTGGAGATCTTGTTGATTTTTTTCAAAGAACCAACTCTTTGTTTCATTGATTTTTTTTTATTGTTCTCTTTGTTTCTATTTCATTGATTTTAGCCTTCATTTTGATTATTTCCCCGCATCAGTTCCTCCTGGGTGAGTTTGCTTCTTCTTGTTCTAGAGCTTTCAGGTGTGCTTTTAAGTCACTAGTGTGAGATTTCTCCATCTTGTTTATGTGGGTATTTAGTGCTATGAATTTTCCTCTTAGCACTGCTTTCATAGTGTCCCATAAGTTTGGGTATGTTGTACTTTCATTTTCATTGAATTCTAGGAAATTTTTAATTTCTTTCTTTATTTATTTCTTGACCCATTGGTGATTCATTTGGGCATTATTCAGTTTCCATGAGATTGTAGGCTTTCTGTAATTTTTTTTGTTGTTGAAATCTAACTTTAATTCATGGTAGTCCAATAAAAGGAGGTTATTCCAGTTTTTTTTTTTTTTAAATCTGTTGAGATTTGCTTTGTGACCGAGCATGTGGTCGATTTTAGAGAAGGTTCCATGGGGTGCTGAGAAGAAGGTATATTCTTTGTATCAGAGTGGAATGTTCTGTAGATATCTATTAGTTCCATTTGAGTCATAACTTCTGTTAGGTCCCTTATTTCTTTGTTAAGTTTCAGCCTGGAAGATCTATCCAGTAGGGAGAGTAGGGTGTTGAAATCTACTACTACTAGTGTGTGGGGTTTGATGTGCAATTTAAGCTTTAGTAATGTTTCTTTTACAAATGTGGGTACCCTTGTATTTGGAGCATAAATGTTCAGAACTGTATCTTCTTCTTGGTGGATTTTCCCTGTGATTACTATGTAAGGTCCTTCCCAATCTCTTTCAATTGATTTTAATTTGAAGTCTATTTTATTAGATATTAGGATAGCTACACTGCTTACTTCTTAAGTCCATTTGATTGGAAAGTCTTTTCCCAGCATTTTACTCTGAAGTAGTGTCTGTCTTTAAAGTTGAGGTGTGTTTCTTGTATTCAGCAGAAGGATGGATCCTGTTTTTATATCCATTCTGCCAGCCTGTGTCTTTTAATAGGTGAATTGAGACCATAGGTATTAATGGACATTAATGACCAATGATTGTAAATTCCTGTTATTTTTTGGTGGTAGTGTTGTATGTTTCTCTTCTTTGGTATTTGTTGTGTTTTCATGGTTGTTGTGTTTTCATGGGTGTATCTAACTTCCTTAGGTTGCATTTTTTCTTCTAGTGCTTTCTGTAGGGCTGGATTTGTGGATAGGTATTGTTTAAATCTGATTTTATCATGGAATATTTTGTTTACTCCATCTATGGCAATTGAGTGGTTTGCTAGATATAATAGTCTGGGTTGGCAACCATGGTCTCTTAGTGTCTGCATAATGTCTGTCCAGAACCTTCTGGCTTTCAGAAAAGTCAGGTGTTTCTCTAATGGGTCTGCCTTTATATGTTACTTGGTCTTTTTCCTTTGAAGCTCTTAATATTTTTTCTTTATTCTGTAAGTTTAGTGGTTTGATTATTATGTGGCAAGGGGACTTCTTTTTGGATCCAGTCTATTTGGTGTTCTGTAAGGTTCTTGTACCTTCATAGGCATTTCCTTCTTTAGGTTGGGAAAGTTTTCTTTTATGATTTTGTTGCATATATTTTTCTGTGCCTTTGAGTTGGTATTCTTCTCCTTCTTCTATCCCTATTATTCTTACTTAGGTTTGGTCTTTTCATGGTGTCCCAAATTTCCTGGATGTTTTGTGTTATGACTTTTTTGGCTTTAGTGTTTTCTTTGACTGATGAATCTATTTCCTCTATTGTATCTCCAACACCAGACATTCTCTCTTCCATCTCTTGCATTCTATTGGTTATGCTTGCACCTGTAGTTCCTGTTCATTTACTCAGATTTTCCATTTCCAGCATTCCCTCAATTTGTGTCTCCTTTATTGCTCTATTTCAGTTTTCAAATCTTGGACTGTTTTCTTCACCTGTTTAATTGCTTTTTCTTGGCTTTCTTTAAGGGATTTATTGATTTCTTCCAATTGTTGATTATCTTTTCTTCAATTTCTTCAAGGGAAAATTTTATTTCTTCTTTAAAGGCCTCTATCATCTTCTTAAAGTCATTTTTAAAGTCAATTTCTTCTGATTCTTCTGCTTTGGCATGTTCAGGTCTTCTTGATGTAGAACCACTAGGTTCTGATGGTGCCATATTGGTCTTTATGTTGTTGACTGTGTTTTTGCACTGGCGTCTACCCATCTCTTCCTACACTCTGTGCAAGTGGTGTCTGTGTCTGAGGGAGCCTCTCTTGGTCTGATTGATATTCTTGGTCTAATGGGAGCTCTTGGTCTAATTCGGGCTCTTGGTTCAGTCAGTACTGATGGATTCTGTGTCTCAGGGGCAGATCTTAGCCCAACGGGCACCAGTGGGCTCTGTCTCAGGAAGTAGCTATTCCTAACCGGTGCAGGGTAGGATCTGTTTTCTTGGTGAGGGGTCAGGAGAAGAGGCAGCTGGCCAGTCCCTGGGGCTCCAATGGCTTGGAGGAGGGACACAGCATGTGCCCCTGGGGTCTAGGGGCTAGGGACCTGGTCTGCCCAGTCCAGAGATGGGGCCTTACCTATTCCCAATCAGTGCAGGGTAAGCTTATGACTCGGGTTTTCACTGGTGTCCCAAGGGGCTATTTTCCTGAATTGCATTTTAAAAATAATTTTTAGAAGATGGGAATATGGCTTAGTTGGTAAAGAGCTTTTCATTTAAGCATGAAAACCTGAGTTCCATCCCCTGAACCTACACAAATACAAGCCAGATATGGTAGCATACATTTGTAATCCCAGTGCTGGGGAAGCCTAGACAGGATGCCTTGAGCTCATTGGCCAGCAAGCATGGCTTACTCATTGATATTTAACCCAGTCTCTTCTAAAGGGCTATTTATAGGAATGCCAAGGGGTGAAGCAAAGATCTAGCACAGCCAAGTGCAAATGCTTCCAATCACCTGGTAACCACACACGTGTTCAATCCATCTTCTAATGCAGTTCTGCTGGGTAAAGCAAGCTCAGATCTCACTAGGAACCTTTGTGGGCCTCCACAGTGGGGCCATTAAGATGACTCAGCAAGTGCCATGCGAGCCTGGCACCTTTAGTTAAGACTTCAGAATATACACCAAGATGAAATGAAAGAGTTGACTCCATAGAGAAGCACATGCAAACTTTCCCCAGTTGTTAAACAATCCAATATGACAACTGCAGCCCAGTATTCCCATTGCTTTAGTATCACCAGTATCTGGAGGTGATTTAGTATATACAGAAGGATGTGCATAAATTATATACAAGTTATTCAGTATTTTATTTAAGGGACTTCCATTCTCAGATTTTGATATCCACTATTGTACTGGAACTAACCAAGGGATAATGAGAATCAACTGTGTGGTCTCGGTTTTGTTTCCATGAACACATGAGTTTCTTTTCTTGCCCTCCCCAACTAGTTGCACTAAGCCACTTACAGTCTGGTGTTGCTTTATTGAGAAATCACTGAGGTGGCTCACATAAACTCATTAAAATTTTAATGTGCATATCTATAATGCATTTAACTTTAAATATTCCATGCACTTATCTGGATGTCACTACATCCTAGATGACTACAAAAACAAATAGCGTTGGTGAGGAAAGAAGGTAATTTAATATCTGAGTAGAACAATACTGCATGTTTAATTTAAAAATATAGCTTAAGTATAGCAATGCCAACATAAAAGTTACTTCGTTAAAGAATAGTAATTGGATTTAATGTCGCATATATACACGATTTTCATTAAGGAAAGAAAGTGAAGTTTGTGTGAGTCTAAACTAATGAAGTAAGTTCAGCTCACCTATTGTACTCTTCAGAAGACAGGTACAGCACACACCATTAGAACAGGCTGTAGAATTGGTGTTAAAGCTCAAGACTTTAGTAACTGAAGACATATCTATGTTTGTTGATCTTAATCTGGTCTTAAGCTGGGATGGTAAAATGTGTACAGTAGAAAGGAGTCTCCACGGGAAATCAATTGCAAATCAGATCCATGGTCTCATATTAACCTCTTGACCCATTTGTACCAGTGGAATCTGAGTAAGTTGGCTTGGAGTTTTATTATGACTTGTAAATTCTTCCTGAGACACTGGCCACTCTGCCAGGTAATGGTTGGGAAGGATGGATCATGCCTTCCCAAGCGTTCATGGTACTGACTAACTAAGAGCACTGGGTGAGTTCAGATGGCATCCAATCCCATACTCTAGTGTCCCAGGACCAAAAATTACCCCAGATATTCATGGTCAGAAACAGAACTAGAGACAGTGAACTAAGAAAAGAGCAGCCGTAAGAATGAGAGTGGGCTAGTGAGTGGAGGGAGGAGCTGTGCATGTTGTATGGCCCTTATAGGACCTTTATAGTCTCCTACACTGCCATTTGTATTTCCTGGCACCCTGTGCAAGCTCTGTTCTTTAGATGAAGCCCAAGGAAAGAAAAGTTTCCAGTCTTGCTCTGCAAACTGCCCTCTTTCACATGTAACTCTCAATGTTTCAGACCCTATTCCCCTGCCACACCTGGAGCTCTCTGTACAACTTGAAGGCAGCTCCACTGAAGAGTCTGCTCCCTCAGGAATTGTTTAGGGAAGCATGGCTATATTGCCCATAAAGGTTTACTAAACTCAAGAAATAGATCATATGTATATAAACTTGCCCTAATCAAGGTATAGATTATCTTGTCTTCTCTCTTTGTCCCACAGGAAATTATTGGAATGCCGCCTCCTTCCCAAATCCATCATCATACCTGCACTTCTCTACCTTCCAAGGAGAAACTAGTGCTGACATTTCTTTCTACTTCAAGACGTTAATCCCTCGGGGAGTATTTCTGGAAAATCTGGGGAACACAGACTTCATCAAGCTGGAGCTGAAGTGTGAGTATTTTTTTCCTGTCAACATGTTAGTGGCTACTATGGTCACAGAGATGTCTCAAGAGAGTTGGCAAAGAAGACAAAAAACACTGCTCTCCTACTGGTTGGAGAGTGCAATAAGGTTCCTTGTTTAATATGCTTGCTTTCCAGAGAAGTAGGTTAAGAGGAGACAGAGGTGGGTAAACCCATCTGAGACATGGAGAGCAGAGGGGCCAACATGGAGAAAAGTGGAAGGGACATACAAAGACATCAGCATGAATGAGGTAGCCATAGACCAGCCAGCTATCTGATGAAACAAAACATTGGGGTGCACTTTTCTCAATGAAGTTCTGCATCCACACCTTCCAAAACAGTGTAGAGTCGTAATTTGTTTAGCAAGGACACAGAACTGCAGAGTCAGGCCCAGTTGGCCTTGGAGCCATCAACTGTGTAGAGCTCTACTTTGGGACTGCCTCCAGGAGAAGACAGGTCAGACAACCCCACACACAATTCTTGCCTCACCAAGGCTGTTGTATCCTCAGGGCCCAAGTTCGGATTTAGGAAGTTATAATATGCAGACCTCCAGGCTAAATGATTACCTGTCAAGCTCTTCTGTGTGTTGAGATAAGTCAAAATCATGTGCGAGACTCTGGGCTCAGTCTTCTGCAAGCTCCCAGCCCCCGCTGAGTATGTCAGAGTGGCTTCCTCCCCGCATCCTTGCCCTTTATGTTCTCTTCACTATTGTTAGTTTATGCTTCTGTTCCAAAAACAATCCCAAATCCATTTCCCAGTACATCTAAGGTTTTTCTCTTTTTGTACTTATAAATATGCAATGCACCATTTTAAAAAGATACTCTCACACAAACATTTTTTTCTTTTGAAATCCCACTGGGTTCTCTTTTTAAGTGGTAGGTTGTGACACAGCAAAAATGGGTAAAGGTGTCAGAGAAAGAGTCTCAGATTCAAACACAAATTTGGGGTTGAATTACTTAATCCCTTTGGATCCCAATTTTCTGAACTATAAAATTGTGATATTAATTTTAGGAGACTGTTCTGAAAATGGGGAGCAGATATTTGTGGAGAATTTACCCCAGTGTCTAGTAAATACCAGAATTGTCTTCCCAAGGTTGCTTATTGTAATGCAGGATTTTTAAGTTATGGCAGGATCTTTCTTACCCTAGTTGTGCTGGAACCAGGGTCCTAAGGTACCAGACACTTAGATGTCTCAAAGATCAACCTGAGACAATGGCTCCAAATCCACTGTCTCACTCGAAAGAAGGTAAAAGATGTGCACTCTCATGGGAGTATGCACAGCATACTTCGCTAAGAATTACCGAGCAGTGAGAAATTGAGAGAAAGTGACAGAAACTCCTGCGAGGAGGAGGTTCCTGAGGGAGAAAAAGGCTGGCAAGTTCCTTTGTCCAGGGGCTTCTACAGGGCCATGGCAGATTCTAGACAAAGGCTGAAGTACTGTCTGGTTTTCTGGGCTATCATGACTGAGTAAATGGAGGCCTACATACTCTATACCTGTTCCCCTGGACCAGCCATGAAAACGATCCTGTGTAGCTGGAAGTTTTCCTGTGTCCCATCCAGTCCCACAGCTGCTTGGTCCCAAGTAAACACACAGAGGCTTATATTCATTACAAACTGTATGACCTCTGGCTCAGGCTCATTATCAACTAGCTCTTAAAATTTAATTCAACCCATTTCTATTCATCCATGTTTTGCCACATGGCTTCATGGCATCACCTGTTCTCTCACATCTTGCTTCTCCTGGAGGTGGCTCGAAGCTTCTGCTCTGCCTTCTCCTTGTCTCTCTTCTTCAATTTCCTGCCTGGCTCTAATTCTTCCTTGCCATAGGCCAATGCAACTTTGTTTATTAACCAATGGGAGCCACGCATATTCACAGCATACAGAAAGACATCCCACAGCAATTCTGTATTGTTCATTTCTGACTCCAGCTTTGTTAATTATTGACCTTGACTGTCAATAGCTGTTAGTCATTTGGCCAGCATTACTACCCTCAGACTCTGCTGATGCCTCAGGAGTTAATTATTCTATGCTCTCTTTATTCCCATATTTACATAGTCAGCTCTAGCTTTACCATGGCAGAGAATGAACACTATCCCAGCCACCAAGATGTAGATCAGTCTTTCTGGATTGCCTCCTATCTAGCTGGTGGTCTGGGGTAGTCTCCAAAGCAGAAGCCCATTGTTAGAAGTCACCCTGAGTTATAGTTGAGTCTGTTGCAATCAGCTTCATTCGAAGGAAGACTTTGAGAAAGGATAATGCATTAACTATGTCCCTGGAGGCTCTGGGGAAGAAAACAACTGGTCTGCCATCACTGGCCCGGGTCCCTGCCCCTCCCCTTATCTGTCCAGCTTACTCATCTCATATTGAACTGCAGGCCTCCTTTTCATCTTCCCCGCTGGTCCAGACCTTGCTGTGCAAACTCTTCACCTTGCTTTAACCCCAGCCTCTGTTCTCTCTGCAACAGACCTGGGCAACTTGCAGTTCTCACCATGGGCAAGATCTGATTAAAAAGAAGAGGGAAAATAGTCTGGCCCTAGAATTAAAACTAATTAATTTATTGATTAAAATGCCCTCTCCACTGAATTAGGGCTCATAATTATTAAAATGGGATTTTTCATTTCCTTTGGTTAAAATTAATTTAATCAACTATGTTCTTACTTCCATGTTAGTATGATGGCATATTAGAAATATCCAATAGCCTAAGAAATGGACAGCTCTATATTTGAAAAGTCCTATACTTTTCTATAATGTTACTTGGGTTCTCTGACTGTTTTACCTGTTTGTGTTTGGTATAGTCCTGTCTGGGTAGGAAGGAAGATAAGCAGAGTTCAGCGAGAGCAGGTGTCTTGGCTTTCCACATGCATCAAAGAATTTCATTTATTTCTTATTGAGGAAAATCTTCAGAGACACTTTCAAAGCCTTGTAGGTCTGTGGATTAGGAGCCTAGAGCTTCACCTACTGCACTGAAGCTTCTTCCTTTGTAGGTCTTTCTATAGTATGAAAAGTGCAGTAGAAGGTGACTTACAACCTCCATCTTGTCATATTGCTGATCTTTTCTGTCGTATAGTTTATACAGGGTGAAGACATAGAGGATCTTTAAGATGCAGACTTGAAATAGTCTCTTCTAGAGCTTCCGGTACCTTCTAAAAACCAGTAAAAGTGAAAATATTTTTTAAAAGACCCCTGACAGGCAGAAAGTAGAAACCATCATTTTGTGCATCCTCACAAGAATTCAAAGGTACCTGGGTACGCTGTGTGCAGTAGGGGATGTCAGGCTTATGTATATGAGAGAAACACACTCAAAGTAAGTAAGAAGTGTGTCTGTGAAGCTGTCAACCCTTAAGAGAACTGAGGCACAAACTAGTTTATAGTGTGCTTGGACTGTTCATGTTTCAGCCTGGGAAAAGACTAAGCCAAGCCATCTTTAATATATAAGTTCTCACAGATCTCATACAACTGCTAAGGCAAAAAGTAAAAGTGAAAGAAGGGCTGTTATTTTGTGTCTGTGTGACTAAAATACTTGAGGACACCTTAAAAGGGGAATTGTTTATCTCAGCTCAAGATTCCATAGAGTTGATGTGTGGTCAGATGACGCCATGCACTTGGGTAAAACATCATAGCAGAAAGAGTCTGTGTCACCTGGAAGCTGTTGGCTTGAAAGATGACCTGAAAGAAGAGGAAGGGCAGGCAGAAAGGGATCAGGGCATGACAGAGCCCCAAGGGCAGCCCCAGTAGCCTAGTTCTGTCCATAAGGCCCCTCCCAATAGTGCCATTAAATTATGATCCATCAAGGAATTAATGCTTTGTTAGTTCAGAGCCCCTAGGATCTAATTGTCTCTGGAACTATAATAGACACACACAGGTGTACTCCACTTAATCCAGTCAGGCTAACAATGAAGACTAACCATCAAATGATATCCTATCAGTTGTTTGCCAAGAATGTGGATTAAGACAAGCAAGATGGAAAAGTATCTCCCAAGGAAGGGATTGAGTATCTTAAACAATACATGTAACATTTCTTAGGTGGGGGGTGGGGTGGTATTTACAGAATTGACAGTCCAAGTGAGTAGCTATAGGAATGACATGTCCCACTAGGACAAAAATGATAGCCCTTGGCATCTAAGCAACAGGATGCAGTGACTTTGGGCCTAGTAGAGTTGGAGTATGTGCTAGGAAAGGAATGTACATCTGCATAGGACCAAAAGACCCCAGAGGTGGATGAGCCTGAAGCCTCGTCTGTCATGTCCTCACAGCCTAATATTTCAGATTGTGTTTCAGTCTGTTTTTTCATCTAATCTTTTTTTTTCTTCCTACAAACAACATGGAGAGGAAAAACCTGGCATGGTTGACACTTGCTAGCACTTTGTTAATCACAATTATTCATTTGAACTTTTCTGAGTCGGATTTCTGGGGTGGTGGGTGAAGAATCCACTACCAGAGGGCTCAGGAAAGGTGTTTGTCTGCAAGCAAACTTTGTTTAAACACCCTCTGCTTTTCTCCATTTAGTTTGTTAGGCTTTCTGATAGGAATTTAAATTTTGTTTCTCTGCGTGTGTCTCAGAGGAATTTTGTCACAGTGCATGCCTCCATGTTGCTTTCCAGAATAGCAGTCCCGTTAATTAACTACATTGTGCCCTTCTGTCAAGAGTAGAGGATTCTTGACTCAGAGAACAGTGAGCTTGTGTACCACAAGTTAATGAGATGTCATCAACATCCTTTGCACAAGTAGAAAAACACAAGCTAAAATCAGAGTGATCTTACTCATTAGCATATTTTAAGGTAAAATTTTGACTCTGTTTCTCACTTACTATTTAATGTTTATTCATTCATTCAGTGAGTTTGTCCTGGACGTTTACTAGGCTTCTATTACTGTGACAGATTCTGAGGGAACATGCTCAAAATACACTTTCTTCTCCCCACAGATGTGGCCATTTGGAAAGTAGGCGAGTAAATGGGTGGTTGTATATTAACAGGCTAACTCAGCCTTCTTGG